TGCCTCACCTTACTGACCTCCGCAATGCCTCACCTTACTGACCTCCGCAATGCCTCACCTTACTGACCTCCGCAATGCGTCACCTTACTGACCTCCGCAATGCGTCACCTTACTGACTTCCGCAATGCCTTACCTTACTGACCTCCGCACTGCCTCACCTTACGTCACCCTGCGTCACCTTACTGGCCTCCGCACCCTGCATCACTTTACTGGCCTCCGCGCTCTGCGTCACCTTACTGACCTCTGCGTCACCTGACTGGCCTCTGAGCCACCTGACTGGCCTCCGCTCTCTGATACTGAACCCTAAGGACTAAGACTGGGATGCCATTAGAGTTCATGTGCGTGTAAAGGCGTCCCAATACTTTTGGCAATACAGTGTATGTCATCCAAGGTTTCTCAGTGCTCACCACATTGATTGAGCATTTGTGTTTGTAAACAACCAACCCATTCATGTACTGAGCATGACTGACAAGATTACGAGTCCTCATATCACCTTCTCGGAGCCTATTCAATGAGAATGACTCTACAGCTCATAGACAGACGCGTCCGTTAAAAATATAGATTTTTATGAATGGACTCCATTATCAGTGAGCTGTAAAATTAAGATAAATCAATGAATAGACTCTGAGAAGGTGATACGAGGACACAGTGATGAGTCACTAGTCTGTCATTCACGCTCAGTACATGAATTGACATTGGTTTACAAACATCCCAAAGGAAAAAGGAAAAAAAGAAGGAGCAACTTGAAACATTTAAAAGTATCAATAAACTCCACCCAAAGTCAAACTAAGGAGCACTCAAAAGGAGCCAAAACAAAGCCCCGAAAAACAACCTTAAACCACCTTATAACTACCATCATTTCTCCTTCGTCTTCGACTCCATTACATTTCTCTAAAATAAAAAAGACCGGTTTTGCTCATCTCTAATCCAGGGCACTGCAGAGCATCTCACCTCGCTGTTCTTCCTGAATGCATCTAAATTGCAACCGTTCACTGCTGCACATCGCATTAGCACAGCTTCAGCCTTCTTAGCACGACCCTTGGTCAGCAGCCAGCGCGCAGATTCTGGAATCCACCTGGAAAAAAACATGCAGAGCATTGCACCTGTTGGAAATACAACGGCATATACTAATATGTTTGAGCAGTAGGTGGCGCTGTAGTGCAATGTTAGTCTCTATGCTTGTGTATACTTATCTATGATATATATATATATATATATATATATACATGTCCTGCTAAGCAAGTAAAACTCAATTCAGCATTCCTCAAGATCTCAGTGCTTCATCCAAACACATAACCAACAGGTTACTGGCCCAGGCACGGAACAGAATACTGTAAGCCAACAAGAGCCGCATCCAAAGCTACTGAAAAGATGGCAAGAAGTTCAGATCTGATGTTTGCAATTGCAAAGCTAAACAATACCAACTAGCAGCTATGGTAGTTTAAATGAGAACTATGAGGTAAGTGCTTTTCCCCATAGTTCTCCTGAGGGTCACAGGAGGACACAAACTAGCATCCTCCCGTCACCCAAAAGCTCAGTATATAGCGAGCTACAGCTCACAGTATACTGAGACCGCCGGAGCCGGGACGGATCCCCACATTACTGTCGAGATCCACCCAGCTGCGTGAGTGACAGCTGGCTCCGCCTATCTAGAGGCAGAGCCAGCTGTACCCGCCCCCTCCCCCGTCCGTTCCGCCAGTCAGCGCTGGGGAATCCCTGCAGGGAGCCGTGTCTGACAGTCACCCCTCTCTGCAGGGACCGGATCGAGAAGTGAGCGAGCGACGCTATGTGTTCGCTCACTTCCCTATCTTTTGAGCCAACCTGTGACAGTTTCATTGTCACACTTCGGCTCGAACTATGAGGCTGAGTGATTTTCACTCACCTCATAGTTCTCCTTTTAAGCTTGAAATGCCGCTAAGCAAAGACGACTTGGGGCAAGTACTGAGTACAGACAGACCCAATTATGGGCCCACAGAGGAATGGGACAAGAAGAACAGGCACGCAAAAGCAATTATAACTCTGCTAGTGGAAGATGACCAGCTCATCCACATCAGAAAAGAGAATACAGCTAATGGTACGTGGACTGCATTACAGAAACTGCATGAGTGTTCAAACCTAAACAGTAAACTATATCAGGTACGCAAGCTATATAAGATGAGGCTAGAAAAAGGCCAGGAAATGCATGAGCATGTGAATGCCATGCTGAAAATCGTTGAACAGCTACGTGCGGTTGGAGAGGACATTAAAGATAACCATGCGGTGGCATTACTGCTACGTAGCCTTCCAGAGTCATACAGTGCTCTTATTAACGCTCTAGAAACCAGACCTGAGCAGGAACTAACATTAGACTACACCAAAGGAAAATTAATCAAATTAATATGACAGAAAGAAAATGTGCACAATGAAGAAAATGAGAAAGCCCTTATGGTGCATAAGAGCGCAAAGCAAAACAAAGAAAGCAGAGCGTGTTTTCGCTGTAAAAAGACTGGTCACCTGAAAAAGGACTATTCAATGTGGAGAGCAGAGAAAGCGAGGGGCACCTACAAGAGCTAAGGCAGTCGCAAAGGAAACTGCAGGCACATCATGGAGCGCTACCTTTTAAAGTGACTCAGAACAGTTTATATGTTTTGTTTTGCTCAGAACAGTATACCACACGGAAGGTGTATTGACTCAGGCGCAACACGTCACATGACCAGTGATGAGACCTTCTTCACAGAAATTGATTTCAATGCAAAGGACAAAGTCTTCTTAACAAACGGGGAAAGTATTACTGCAGAAGGTAACGGTCAAGGATTCTTGAACTGCATCACTCCGTCAGGGGACAAGCAGAGTATCCTCGTGAAAAATTTTCATACATATGAAACATTCGCTCCTGTCATAAAACACTCTACCATCAGAACACTCCTTAGTATCGCAGCCGGGAAGGACATGCAAGTGAAACACCTAGACTCTAAAGCCACTTTCCTATATGCAGGAGTGTATCTACCGCAAGGCAAACTAGGCATTTGCCAAGGACGGCACTTTCCAGGGGGGCGGCAAAACCACCATAAACCCTGCAAAGCTCTCCTGAGACCCTGTACAGCCCACCCGAGACCATGCACAGCTCTCCTGAGAGCTCATGTGGGCTGTATCCAGTGACTGACAGGTTGCGCTAAATGTCCTAAACAGGATGGGGTGGGGCAAATTTAGATTGAGGGGGGTGCCCGAGTTTAGTCTTGCCTAGGGCAACACAAAATCAAAATACACCACTGCCTATATGGAGACATTAAAGTGACATGAAAGGCAAACTTTTTTTTCCCTCACCCCAACGTTAATGTTAGCACTTACCTTAAATGATGTCTTTTAATCCGATCATCTTCTTCTTTCCTGTAGTTTTCAGCCTTCTCTCCAGCGCTGCGGCGAATCTCCGATCCAGCGCTGACTCCTCTGAGCTTGCTGGCACGTACTCTCCCGCGGTGTCTGCATGCGGGTGCACGCGTCCATTGACTTACCTTGTGTCTTTCCCCGCGTCCCGGCCGAAAATGTGAACTGTGCATGCGCCCGCCCCAAGATGCTTCGCGGCCGCCCGAGCAGTTTCACATTTTCAGACGGGAGCGCGCAGGGAACACACATGTAAGTTTAAACCCATGTTAAAGCCGGTTTTCTTTTTTTTTTATTCAACTTTTTGCCTATAGCCACTGCTTGATAGCAGTAGATATATGCAAAAAAAGGGCTTAGAAAGCCTTTAACCAGTTGACATCCGCGGTGTTAAACCCCCTTCCCATCCAGGCCATTTTTCAGTATTCAGCGCTGCGGTACTTTGACTGACATTTATTCCGTCATGCAGCGCTGTACTGAAATGAATTTTATACCCTTTTTATAACATCTTACGGACTCCAGCAATCAGCAAGAATGTGGAATGAGAAAGTGAAAGAAATACTCATGAAAGAGAGATGCACAAGATGCAAAGCAGGTCCCTGTCTTCAGTGGCATCACAAGGCGGGTGCGGCCCGCACCCGGGTGACACCATTGGAGGGGTGACACCAAAATGACTCAGAGTCATTTTGGTGTCACCCCCCTCTGAAAAGTCGGGCGCTCGGTCATGGACCTAACGCCCGACAGTATCAGGAGAGAGGAGGGGACCCGGCGGCATACCTTATCCCGCCGGGTGACTGTCCCCTCCTCTCTCTGCCGGCGTCCATCACCAAGATGGCCGCCGGCAGGTATCAGAATACTGCCGCGCGTGCGCGATGACGTCATCGCGCACGCGCGTGGTGACGTCACGCGCATGCGCAGTGACATCTTGGCGGGGTGACACTCGGTTACCGCTCCGGGTGTCACCCAGCCTCGGGACGCCCCTGCCTATCTTTATGTAAGGCGGTGAAGAGGTTGCAGAGCATTTCACCTTAGCTTTTCTACACCTGCAGAGCATTGCACCATGCAGAGTCAGGACAGTTGCTGGCAGTGCAGTGTTATCAGGGAGATCTAAGGATTCAGAACTGGAGGGGATGAGTGAAGAGAGAGTATATAGTATCAGAATATTATTTCATGATGTCTTACCAGATGGTGATAATGGCCAGGAAAAGGGGGGCATTGATGGCCACTGTCAGCCAACGCCAGTCTCTCAGCAGATACGCCAGCAGTGCCAGAACACAGCTCCCGATAGACCAGCAGAAGCCGGTAATTATTGTAGCGTCTGTGCGATGCCGTACGTCCACCCACTCCACACCTGAGGATATAAGGAAATTATTATCAGGTAACAGGCCCTACTGCCCGGTCTGACCCAGCAAATCAACCCTGACCTCACCAAATCCCCCATGATTGTACCAAATCCCACACTGTACCCCTAAACCTCCCTGTCCCCACCCGATCACAATGACCCACCACATCCTCTTCCAAATCTTGCATCTTCCCTCACTCTTCCTTACGACCCCACTATCCGCCTAAGTCTTATCCATTGACTTTCCAAAGCTTTTGTCCAGCTCCCTAAGTCATGTTCCTCTATTTCTTCCTGTTAAGTTCCACATTTTCTTCTTTAGTTTTGAATACAAATCTCAGATTTCTTTAAATCTTGTTTCATTCCTGATCTCCAACTATTGTCTTTCATTTGTGAGTTGGGCTTGTCCTATGTCCTTGGACGTCCCCGGGTCTTCCTCCATATCCTGACCCTCCATGCCACCCATCAACTATGTCACTTTCTAAGTCCTGGAATACTTACTTAAGGCAATTATATTGTTACTTAGTCCTGCAAAAACTGATCCAGAGAGGGCCATACTGACAGCAAGCATGGGATATGATATAGAACCTGCAGATAATCCCCCGAACGCCATTGCCAGGAATATGGAGACCAAAATCATCACTCTGCGACCATATCTGAAACATAATGATAAATCACAGACTAAAATCCCTGACCAGAATGATACAATGCAACCTGCCATCCAAGATTTACATTCAAACAGGATTGTTTATTACTGCCCACATTCTTATTGCCTACAGTCCCTTTCCATTCACCTTACAGACCCCATCCATCCACACTTCACGCTCCATCAACCATACGGCCCCCGGCCATCCAGTCTACACTAATTGTCCATTTCCTTAATTTCTCCATTCATCCAACCTTAAATTCCAGTCCATTTCCCTACATTCCCTGTCCTTCCATCCTACAGTCCCTGTCCATTCACCCTACAGTCTCTGTCTACCTACCCTACAGTCTCATACCGTCCACCCTACACTAATCATCTATCTGCCCTACAGTCCCCATCCATCCACCCTACAGTCGCTGTCCAACCAACCTACACTCCCTATCTATTCTACACTCCTTATCGACCCTAAACTCCCCATTCATTCACATCACACTCCCCATATATTCACTCTACACTCCCTATCTATCTACCCTATGGTCCCAGTCCATCCATCTTACACTCCCTGTCCATCCACCCTACACTCTCCATCCACCTATTCTACACTTCCCATCTATGCACCCTACATTTTCCATCCATCCAATTTACATTTTCCATCCATCCACTCCCAGTTCATTCCTCCACCCTACATCCCTAGGTCATCTAGCCTACAGTTTTCATCCATTCAGCTTACACTCTCTATCCATCCACCCTACACTCCCAATTCATCCTTCCACCCTACACTCCCAGTTCATGTACCTTAAATTGCTCATCCAACTACCCTGCACTCTACTCTTCTTTATCTAGCCTTCACTGTCCATCCATCCATTCAACTTTCTTCTCTAGCTATTCATCCTATTCTCCCAGTTCATCCACCCTACACTCCCATCCATCTACCGTAGCTCATCCATTCACCCTACACTACCTGTCCATCCATTGACCTTACTCCCATTCATGCACCCTAAACTCCCCTGTCTATCCAACCTAAACTCCCTACCCATCCACCCTACACTACTTGTCCATCTAACCTACCCTCTCCATCTATTCAATTTACATTTTCCATCCATACACCCTACACTCCCCATCCATACACCCTACACTAGTTGCCCTCCTACCCTAAACTTCAGTTCATTGATCCAACCTACACTCCCCATCCATCCACCTTGCATTCCCCATCCATTCACTCCACAATTCCTATCCTATCACCCTACAGTCTCCAACCATCCAATCTACACTCCCCACTCATTCAGTCTATACTCACCATCCATACAGTCTACACTGCCCACCTACTTAACCTACACTGCCCATCCATCCAGCCTAAACTTCCTGTCTATCCATCATACACTATCCATCCCCCGACACTACACTCTTCAGTCATCCAGTCCCCACACATTCATTCCATACTTTCCATCCTTTACTTTCCATCCATTGCAGCCTTTACTCTCCCAACTATTTACTTTCCAATGGCTATCCATTCAGAAAGGCATGCGCTCACACTCACCGGTCAGATAAGTATCCAAAAATGACAGCGCCCAGTGTTACACCAATAAAGAATATAGTGGCCACAGCTTTACTCAACCCTCTACGGCTACAAACCAGATCCCACTGCAAAAAAAAAAAGAAAACAAAAGTGACTTTGTGGCCCAGAAGGGCCGCATCATTTCCATATTTCTGACCATCACTTTTTAACCTGAACCTGAAGAAAGCCTCTGGTCTACAGGGCAGGGAAGACTCATTATGTGTCAGATTTTCCCAAAAAGATACAAGATAGAGCTAGTACAAAATGTATAATTATTGTAATTTAAATATATAATTGAATGACTCTGTTGTTGTCATTCTATTGTCTATGACTGTATTGTAAGATGAACTCGATCTGGAGACATTGGGTACATTGACCTATTATGAGTCTGTACTAATATCCTTTGTACAGAGTAGAGTCTGACTCTTATAAATGACCCCATACTCCATAGATCAGACTCCTTCAGGCAATTTAGTATTACCCTGCTAGCTTTACCTATAGGTTATTCTGAGTCACAGACAGTTACCCTAAACATTATGTGATTGGGTGACAGAATAAGCCGCATGCAGCTCCTCAGACAAACCCCACATTACATATTTCCGGGGTGAGTGGAGAGTTATCTCATCCAATAGAAAATTGATTCTTGCCCTTCTTACTTTGTGATCCCACATATCACTGTTTTATCTTCTGGCAGAAGTCATTGTGGGACCCCCGTGAGATATAAGCTTTTTGAATACATTTATTTTCTATAAATCTTGGGTCCTCCAAACATTTTTTTGTGGTGCCCCATTTGGTATTCTGGCAGGGGAGGACTGGGCTGGAGGGCAAGGGGGCATTTACTTCCTAGGCAAGTACTAATAAAATATGTTGGATTGAAGGGCCTAAGGGGAGATACTTCATCATTCAGACATTGATCAGGGTTTCACCCGCAGTCAATGACACATCCTGGCCATTACCTAGTTACCTGCTCCCTACCAGACCTGTAATCACAGTGCTAGGCCAAGTCTTCAGTCTTCCCCTATAATCCTGAAGGGTAAACTTAAGTTAAGTAGTATACTATTAGTAGAGAGAGGTGGTTATGGCTGGGGGAGACTCTATATTATAGACATGTACCGCCAAATAAGATATCAGACAATAGATCTGTGTATTTTTTAGGGAAAGACTAAACCCTTAATACCATTTATAGTCTAATGAAAATATATGGTTCTTTTAGGTGTCCTGGTCAGGTCCATGCCCCATAATCTGTGGTTAGTATCAGAGCTTCACTGTGGAAGTTCATTATAGAAGTTATACTATGAGACTCTATTGCCAAGATGAGCTCTTGGGCTTCATGTGGTTATCTCTACCTTAGCTAAGTGTCACATTTATACAAGTTATAAGTCTATCTAAAATGTTTTCCCCCGGGCAATAAACAAGCAACAGTTACACTTACAATTCTCTAATACGCTATTTATTGGGACAAGATCATACCTGAGTGACGGTGGTGGAGGAGATGGTGGACAGGTCATATTCCCAGCCTTGATCACAACTCTGCACACCAGATCCATTGACGGTCTCCTGGGATCTGTTGAGGATCAGGTAAGGCTGCGGCTGGGAATACATCTTACAAGAGCTGAAGGTCCCATCTTGTTCTTGGGGGATGTTGATAAAGAGAAGGTCCTCTTGACTCAGGTTCCCAGGGTTCCTTTGCGTAGAGATGGCACAGTGGTGGGGTGGTACAGCTGAGATGAAGACATGTTGTAGAAAGTGGAGAGGGATGATAAGACGAGGGATGCAAAGAATCAATAAAACTATGACCTGAAATCGTCCAAATCCCCCGGCCTCGATGAGAAGATCATCAAAGGTCATCTTTCTGGGAGCAGTCACTGTGACGGAGGATCGTGAGAGAGAACCCATTGCTTGTCTAAGGGTTGAACACGCTGTTCAATAGAATTGGGGGGCAAAGACACCACATGGAACGATCATCCAAAAAAATAGGCCTTCAGCTGTGATGGTATCTGACACCTCTATGTGGTCACTTCAAAGTTTGAACTTCATCAGCTTCAGCCTGTAGACTCATTTCAGCACATTCCTTCAAAGCTTTGCACTGAGGCGTTTCAGGTTGTATAAGCTTCTTATGGGAAAGAACTGCAGAAGCTGCATCCAGTCTTAAAGAAGTGGGTCAGAGAGGTTGTCTCACCGGGTGAGGAATCACGCCGAAATGGCTCAATGGACCAGAACCTCCTTTTAATGTTCATTATTCACAACTACTGGCAGATAATTGGTTGGATCTGGTTACGGAGCTCATCATACACACAGTCATTTGACAAGAGTCAACTGAGTGTTACATATATTGTGATATAACCCTGACCAACAATCTGGGAGATGTTACAAGTCACCTAAATTGTTCTAGACCATAAAGAGAAGAATGAGGACACACACGTCCATTGCTGATATACAGAACACATTAGCAGCTTTATACAGCTTATAACGTACGGCACTCTGGACTACACATCTCACTACCAAGCTGGACCTATACCATCCTTCTGTTACCAGGTCCAATATCCTTAGAGGAACCAGTACTGGCTTTGTGCCACCAGAGCTCCCAGTAATTCAGGACCACATTGCTGCTGAGCTAGCGTATCTAAGCTTGGCTGCCACTTACATTGGATGTAAACCTTAAAGGAGAACTATGATGCGAGTGAAAATCCTCATCCTCATAGTTCAAGCCAATGTGTGACAATGAGACTGTCACAGGTCAGCTCAATAGATCGGGAAGTGAGCGAACACATACCAGCGTTCGCTCACCTCTCGATCATGTCCCTGCAGAGGGTCCTGACTGTCACTCACAGCTCCCTGCAGGTATTTGCCCCCCTCCTCTGTCCGATCCTCCAGCGCTGACTGGCAGGAACGGACGGGCGAGGGGGCGGGCACAGCAGGCTCAGCCTCTAGATAGGCAGAGCCAGCTGTCAATCACGCAGCTGGGTGGATCCAGACTGTAATGTCCGGATCCGTCCCGGCTGCGGCTTAGGGTGACGGGAGGACGCTAGTTTGTGTCCTCCCGTGACCCTTAGGCCCCATTCACACTGAGCGATTCGCAAATCGCGCGATTTGCATTTTGGGCGATATCGCGCAAATGCTTGCATTGAGCAAGCTAGAATCGCGGCAAAATCCGCTCCAAAAAGGGTCCTGCTGTAGCGACGCACGACCCGCGACGGACAGAGCCCCATTGCCATGCATTGGAGAGCGATATTGCGCGGTAAATAGCCGCTATATCGCGGGAATTACCGCGCGATAAATCGCTCAGTGTGAACGGCGCCTTAGGGGAACTATGGGGAAAAGCCCTGACCTGACCCCTTTAACTAAATGGCATTTTCATTAAATCCTTGTTTTCCCTTTTATTCTTCGTTTTTTCCATCTCATTGCTGCTGTCTGTCGGATTTTGCGTTATTTCGTTTTTCGGGATTCGCGTCCGAAAGTCAATTCGTTTTGGGATTCGGACGAAATTCGTTAGTGTTAGTCAATACGAATTGTCGTTCCTTGCAGCAAAGTGAAATTTGAGAAAAAAATTATTATTTTTTCCTCAAATGTCACGTTGCTGCAACGAAATTTCCTCCAACAAACAAAATTTCGTACAGACTACGGCTAACGAATTTCAGAATCAGAAATTCAAATTCGTTTGCATTCGTTATATCTGTAATTTGGATACATCCGAATTTCGATTCGGAACGAAACGAATCGCACATGTCTACAGTGGACCATGCCTGAGTATTGTGCGGCGAAATGGCCGGTTAAAGTATCCATCGGTGTGACGGGGTGACATCACAAGAGCAAAACTGGGAGACATAGACAGTGCGTTGTCACCCAATAACAGGATGCGCCTAAACATGGACCTTCATGGCAGGATCACCAGGGATCAATCTTAATAACCTGCAGATTCATTTATATGGAAAATTACATTTAACATTTCGAAGATTAAGCTCTATCTGTCCCCAAAAAATGGTATAAAATTCATTTCAGTACAGCGTTGCGTGACGGAATAAATGTCAGTCAAAGTACTGCAGTGCTGAACACTGAAAAATGGCCTGGCCAGGTAGGGGATCTAAACACCTGGTCTTCAAGCAGTTAAGTGTTATTCAATGCTCAATGTTGGCTGATAACAGAAATACAATTGGAAAGTTTATTTGTTGTAATTTCCACATTATTCATGTTATTTTGCCAGGATAAACCGTCTAAGGCCAAATCTTGTCCTGGAAATCGCAGACAGAGGAGGTCTTCATATCTGTCATGTGAATAGATATTCATTGTTCCGCATTAGGAGTGAAATTGAACAAATACGGGTGAAAATTGATGTAGATCCCGTGTTGTCATTCTGATAAGTGATAGAGGAAGTGATTCTAAGCTTTCAGGCCTCAGGTCCCATTATAACAGTGCCAACAGGAAGTCAGCTGTGTGCCGGAAATTAACTTCCGCTCATGATCACAACTTTATTTCATATATATGGGTGTGTGTACGTCATTGGCCATGGAATGAGAAGCTATTAGTGGCGTGTCATATCTGTGACCCCCCTCTCTGAGCACATTGTGCTGTGTGTCAGTCAGCTGTCGGGAGGTGGAGGCTCCTCTGATCTGCACATGACATGAAATGTTCGTTACGCAGAGTCAACCCTTTAATAACCTATGATGGTTCCAGGTCTTGCCCCCCTCCCTCCCGCCCAGCTGGATGCCCACAGACACAACAAGACCTTCCATTCACACCAGCAGCAAGCCAAAGCTTCCTCATTGTGCAATGTACTATAATAAGTGGAAGCCCATGATTCAACCTATTCATGTTAGCAGGGGAGAATTGTAACTCTATTCCTGCAGTGTACTGGACGTGTGTAATGTATATGTAGTACATATATACAGCACACACCTCCACTACACTCCAGCAATAGAGTTACAATTATCCCCTGCTAATATGAAGGGGTTAAATCATGATCCATAGTACATAAGAGTACATAACATGTAGTTGTACTACAGATCCTTTATCCTCTTCATATTAGCAGGGGATAATTGTCACTCTATTACTGCAGTGTACTGGACGTGTGTAATGTATATGTAGTACATATATACAGCACACACCTCCACTACACTCCAGCAATAGAGTTACAATTATCCCCTGCTAATATGAAGGGGTTAAATCATGATCCATAGTACATAATAGTACATAACATGTAGTTGTACTACAGATCCTTTATCCTATTCATATTAGCAGGGTATAATTGCAAAGTAACGCACTTTGGAAATACAAATAAACAAATGGGCTATACCATCATGGGTATGGCGCTTGGGAAGTCAGAAAAAGATTTGGGGGTCATTGTAGACCAAAAACTGAATGGTAGCTTGCAGTGCCAGGCTGCGGTAAACAAAGCTAGCAGGGTCTTGTCCTGTATTGAGAAGGGGATGTATTGCAGAGACAAGTGTATAATTTTGCCTCTATATAGATCTTTGGTTCGGCCACATCTGGAGTACGCGGTCCAGTTTTGGTTGCCGGTACTAAGAAGGGATGTCCTTGAACTGGAGAGAGTCCAGCGGAGGGCAACCAAACTAATTAGTGAAATGGAGGACCAGAGCTATGAGACACGACTACTGAATTTAAAACATGTTCACGTTGGAAGTAAGGAGATTAAGGGGGGGTATCATTTTCATGTACAAGATGTTCAATGGTGGTAGCAACATCAGCAACAAACTGTTTAAGTTTAACTCCGTAACAAAGACTAGAGGCCACCACCTAAAATTGGTGAAGAAAAAATTCCAGCACAAGCGGCGAAGGGGGTTCTTCACAGTTAGAGCAGTTAGGGTCTGGAACTCTCTGCCACCGGCAGTGATTTCCGCTAAGAGTGTGTAAATGTTAAAAAAACTTTTGGACGATTTCTTGAGGGACCGTAATATCCAGGGATACAAATATTCCTAAGAATGAGTTGAGTGTGGACCTATATGGGTTTAACTTGATGGATGTATGTCTTTATTCAACCCCAAATACTATGTAACTATGAATTGTAAATCTATTACTGCAGTTTATTGGCAATATGTACTGTATATACTGTATGTGCTACATATAGAGTACACTGCAGCAATAAATTTACAATTATCCCCTGCTAACATGAATGGGTTAAATGATCTATAATACATCTACATGTTATGTACATATTATGTACTATGAATCGTTTAATCTATTCATATTAGCAGGTCAGAATTATAAATCTATTGCTGCAGTGTATTGGGAATATGTACTGTACATGAACAGTACATATAGAATACACTGCAGCAATAGATTCTTGTTGTTCACACAAAACACTAAACCCAGGCCCCGTCTTACTTACTGTTGCCTCGATCGCGGTGCCTCACGATGTGCCGCATGATTTTCCTCACACGTGAGGACGTCGTCGGTGCTGAGCTGAAGAGGAGCGTCGCGTCACTGCTGCTCCGTTGGGCAGCGCTCCAGGTGGGGTCTTCTGGGCAGTTGCCGGCCACCTAAATTAGGACCCCACCTGGGAGCGCCGCCCACCGGGTCAGAAGTGACGCGACGCTAGGCGCAGCCCGGCGCCGCAAGTAAAGAAAGAAAAAAACCTAGCGCAAGTTTCGGCGCTATGTATCGGGTCATTTTGACAAGTACTTGTCAAAATGCCCTGTATCGGTCCCGATACCGATGCTTGTATTGTTACTCCAAAGGAAACCATTGTAAGCAGCTCGGTCAGTATGTAGCCATAAGCAGGAATGTCTACCTAAATTTAGAAGTTGTCCGGCGGTAGTCTGATTCTGATTGATAATTCGGCTTTCTTGGGTCTTTCCTAAGCTCTGGTGATTGTTTGCTTCTGCTGGTTGCTGGGAAGAGTCCCTGGCAATGGTGCAGGAGGCTGCTTTAATTAGAGTTAGGAGTATTAATGTCTCCTCAGCCAATCACTAGGGGTTCATTGCCAGTAGTGCATGCTGGGAGAGGGTATAAATATTTAGGAATTCAGTCCCCCCCTGACCTCCTGCCTGGGAGGATGCTGTTGTTAAGTCTAAACCTTCTAGGCCTGCTGCCTGAGGAGGGTGGCCATGTGCTTGGACTGAAGCCTAGGTTTGAGGCCTAGTATGTGAAGCATGGGGCGGGAGATCCCATGGAGGAACTTCAGCCCGTAAAAGGAGCCGGAGAAGCTGGGTAGATGCTTGGTCCATGGGTGTCCTGTGTCCTAACCCTCTCTCCTGGGAGAGATGAGTGACAGTGAGTAAACTCTTTGTTCGCATCTAAAAGTGATTGGCGCCCGTCTGTTCACAATACTCCACTATTGCCGAGGATCAGACCCTGAGGTGAACACCTTACAGCCACCTGAATCATTTATATGTGAAAACCGGCAGCCTGAAAAAGCATGCAAACTCTTGGCTACTATAGTGGCCAGGAGTTAATCTACATGCAGTACTACTGCCACCATAGTTGTCAAAAAAGGGTTAAAGGCCAACTTTAGTGTTTGCCAGTGGTGTTCCTACACTATGAGCAGCCAGGAAGGAGGTCAGCTGGAGGTGGGAAATGGGGACTGTTTGGGAGGTGGTGGATGCTCGTTATGGGGGGCGGAAATTATGGTTTGGGTGGTCTGCTGGCAGTCGATGCTCGTTATGGGGGGAAGGATTGTGCAGGGTGTGCTGGCAGTGGATGCTCATTCTGGGGGGGCGGGGGGTTTCAGTGGATGCTCGCCCTTGTCCGAAGTCCCACCCAGCTCACTGACGTCACTGGTTGCCAAGAGCTGGACAGGATGCCAGCCAGAGTGTCACAGGTTGCTAAGAGCTCTCGTTGGCCCACATGACCCTGTAAGATGCCTTATTATTATAACTTTTATTATAAGGACCGCCCTGGTGATGGCGCGGTGCACACAATGTAACAACAAGCTCGCAACTACATTTCTTGTCAGTTTATGATGTGGGAAATGTGTCACTAATAGATTAAGAAATGATTGTTTTTGAAAACATTGAAACTTTTTTTTATCAGAGTGCCATTAAATTGATCTAAAAATATAGCCGCGGCCTTGAAGATCGCACTGCACGCCGAGTCCTCCGGCTATGACACCAATACACAAATAATAATTGTGTCACATTTGTTTTCTGTGCTTCAACAATGTTGCAGATCGCAACTGCAACCTTGTAATCTGCCATTATAACGTACAAAGTGCAGAACAAATTAGATAATTTGTTTTGTTTTTTTACCTTCAGATCTGCTCCAAATACAACTTAACAACATATTCCCGGCTCACACTAACTGGACTTTGATTTTCTGAGTATTTAATTTTTGTTTGCAAAATGTTTGAACAAAACTCATTGTGCAAAAAATGACACGTCACGTTCCACCTGAAAAACCACCTCGAATCCTCACAACCTCAAACCTGTAATTAATTTAGAGCAAGGCAGAGCTGTTATAGAGTCCCAATTATTCCAACAGGGAAAAATTAACCCCCACCTCTCTCTCCTAGACCCCATAGGGATAGTGTGCTAAGCTCTCTCTCTTTCTTGCACTCGTGACCGCATAGGGATGGTGTGCTGAGCTCTCTCTCTTTCTTGCACTCGTGACCGCATAGGGATGGTGTGCTGAGCTCTCTCTCTTTCTTGGACTCCTGCCCATAGGCATGGTGTGTTGAGCTCTTTTTTTCTAAGCTCCTGCCCATAGGCATGGTGTACGGAGTTCTTTCTCCTTAATAGGCTCCTACCCATAGGGATGGTGTGCTGATCCCTCTATCCCTCGGGCCCCTGCCTATAGAGATGATGCGTTGAGCTGGACCTTTGTCCATAGGGATGGTGTCCTAAGCTCTCTCTCCCTCCTGCGTTTTTTCTCATGGGGGTGGTGTGCTGAGCTTTTTTTTCTTCTCCTGAGCCCCTTCCCATAGGGATGGTGTGCTGAGCTCTCTCTCCCTCTAGGGCTCCTGCCCATGGGGATAGTGTGCTGAGCTCTCTCTCCCTCCTGGGCTTTTGCCCATACAGATGGTGCGCTGAGCTCTCTCTCTCCCTCTAGGGCTCCTGCCCATAGGGATGGTGTGCGGAGCTCTCTCTCCCTTCTGGGCTTCTATCCATAGGGATAGTGTGCCGAGCTCTCTCTCCCTCTTGGGCTTCTGCCCATAGAGATGGTGCGCTGAGCTCTCTCTCCCTTCTGGGCTTCTGCCCATATAGGGATGGTGTGCCGAGCTCTCTCTCCCTCCTGGGCTTCTGCCCATAGAGATGGTGTGTGTCGAGCTCTCTCTCCATCCTGGGCTTCTGCCCATAGAGATGGTGTGTGTCGAGCTCTCTCTCCATCCTGGGCTTCTGCCCATAGAGATGGTGTGCCGAGCTCTCTCTCCCTCTTGGGCTTCTGCCCATAGGGATGGTGTGCTGAGCTCTCTCCCTTCTGGGCTTCTGCCCATAGGGATGGTGTGCCAACCTCTCTCTCCCTCCTGGACTTCTGCCCATAGAGATGGTGCGCTGAGCTCTCTCTCCCTCCTGGGCTTCTGCCCATAGAGATGGTGTGCCGAGCTCTCTCTCCCTCTTGGGCTTCTGCCCATAGAGATGGTGCGCTGAGCTCTCTCTCCCTCCTGGGCTTCTGCCCATAGAGATGGTGTGCCGAGCTCTCTCTCCCTCTTGGGCTTCTGCCCATAGAGATGGTGTGCAGAGCTCTCTCAACTTTCTGGGCTTCCGCGCATAGGAATGGTGTGCAGAGCTCTCTCTCCCTCCTGGGCTTCTGTCCATAGGGATGGTGTGCTGAGCTCTCTCTCCCTCCCGAAGTTCTGCCCATAGGGATGGTGTGAAGAGCGCTCTCTTCCTCTTGAGCTTCTGCCCATATGGTTTGTGTATTGAAGAATTCTCCCCTTCTAGGTGATTTCTACAAGATGGTCCCTTCTAAAGGAGAAGGATTACTTGAGGAAGTACTCCCCAAGTTAGAGAAAGGTGGTGAGTGAGTTAACACGTCACCTTTCTCAACTGTGCTGCCTTAGAAAATAAACACCACTAGAACCTTAGTCTCTATGAGGCCAAGCTACAGTCCAACATAGTCTGAGGGAGCACAGAGAGTGTCTAACGAGGATCAGAAGTCAGCCTGTACAATGAGACAGAGTGTGAGATTAGGGTATCCTGAGTCCCTCACACTCCTCCCCATCCGCAGTTCTGCCAGTAAATTGTTGATCAATTTTCCACAAATTGACCAACACCCAAAATATTTCTACTAACACCCACAGAAGATCCAGCCCTGAGGTGATATGCCTGGAAATTGCAGGACCAGGACATCCCAATGTGAATTATTATCCATCTGGAGATCAAAATTATTACATAAAGTTTAATCGTTATATATGGCCAACAAACAAACAAATTAATGAATGAATGTTGTATAATATTTATTATTGTTTGATTTTACTCGATCTGCTATCATTATTCCAACAAATATCTTCTTACAATGTAAGGAAACAAACTCACCCAAAGCTGCACATCAGAGGCCTCACTGCCTCAATCCATTTCTGCAAACCACATGGGAAACATCTGTGTAGAGCAAACCAGTCCATACCGCCTACCTCCCATAATGCAACACTTAGTGTCTGAGTGACCAATCACCAGGGTTGAGCACCAACATGTGAGGGTGTGGTCACACCTCGCTATATGAATATATCTACCTTACAAAAGTCGGCCTCTGGGGCGGAGCTGGTGGCCTCTGTATGTAAGATTTCCTTTAATGTTCTATATAACCAATAAGAATGCTGGGACTCCGCCACCTCTGAAGTGGATGGCACCATTGCCCAGTGTACAGGTGGGAGTGATGGTATGTATTGGGAGTGATGGTATCTATTGAGAGGGTGGAGGGTCTTCTGGAAGGACCCAAAACTTTGAAGAACTTCTAATGACAAACTTCATCTTTGTAACATTGAACACAATAACCGTGACAATGTTCCCGTCATGTCCGCAGTGCCGACTCCTCACCCTGAACAGCTGTGTCAGATGAAAGGTGTTCAGTGGACTCAGAGCTGGAGAGAGGTGACAGGTCCTCATTGTCTGTTATAGGTGGACCCCCGGCATGGACACCTTCCATGTTCTCCAATACCACGGTCCTGTGCGGCTGCAGGCCATTGACATGGATGGTGGGATTCCCGAATCTGCCGAATGATAATAAAATAGGAGTCATGTGATACCCCAAAAAACAGCCAAATTCAAACCGGCCTAAAGGGTCTAGTATGAATTTTGAGGGGGAACCCTCCCTTTTTTTTCTCTTGGATTGTCTAACACCTTTCAATTCGTTTCCGAAAATTTGGATGCATCTGAAGTTCCAGTACTGCAAAATTCGTATCCGTTTGAATTCATTATTTTTTCCATTTGGAAATTTGGATGCATCCGAATTTCCAAATATGTCGATATTCGTCCGAATTTCAATTTGGAATAGAATGAACCTTACATGTCTAGGAGGCACTCCAGAGCTACAAAATTGGAGCACTGCTACCGTATCTCTATGGTAGAATCATGACTTTTACCTAGAAGACTGCAAGCACGTCCTTCAGCTCAGCACATGAGGATGCCGGCGCCTATGAGCATCTTATCTTAAAGTGACAGGACACAGCGCTCTTGGTTACCTGTCCAGCTCCACGTCCTGGATGGTCTCCGGTAACTGGAGGTGACAGGTCTCTGTTAGGAGGAAAGCCGCCACGCCAGACACCAGAGACATACTGCTGAACACCACGGGGGGCAGGAAGGGCCAGACATCTTCTAGGAGGATGACCAGAGGGGCCAACGAACTGCCCAGGCGGGTCATGAAGGAGCAGAAGCCGAGGCCGGTCTGCCTGCGGAGATTGAGGAGAGGTGGTTGTTTTATCACACATTACACAGACATGGATCACTGTTGTCACCATCATCATACCTCCCAACTGTCCCTTATGTGGACCCAAATCCCTCTGTCACTATTTCCTTCCCAGTTGTCCCTCCTTTTGGTCTGATGTACAGATATCTATGAAAAGGTTCCATTTACCTACCAAAAGCCAATAAAAAGGAAAAGTAGCGGCCAGGAAAGACGATTCTGGCTTACCCGATCATTTGGAAGGTGTCCGTCTTTCTCGTCTCTCAATGTCGGGAGGTATATACAGATATTTATTGGAGAAATCACTGAAAGATGGCAGAGAACACTCCGCTCAGCCCCCACTGATCTCCCTAATATTGTCACAGCGAGGTGTCAGTGGGTTACCTGATGACGGTGGGGTACAGCTCAGCGGTGAAGAGGAATGCGGTGGTAAATGAAGCTTCCGAGAAGCCTTTCCCCAGAATGGCCACCAGGGAGCGCCAGTCACCTGATCCAGAGAACAGAACAAGGAATTAGGGTACCTACTGGGCCTGCTGTTATAATGGGGTGACATGGCCGGGGGGAGCACAGAGGTATAATGGGGTGACATGGCCGGGGGGAGCACAGAGGTATAATGGGGTGACATGGCAGGGTGGAGCACAGATGTATAATGGGGTTACTTGGCAGGGTGGAGTACGCACTTATAATGGGGTGACATGGCAGGGGGGAGCACACAGTTATAATGGGGTGACATGGCCGGGGGGAGCACAGAGGTATAATGGGTTGACATAACAGGGTGGAGCACAGAGGTATAATGGGGTGACATGGAAGGGGGGAGCACACGGTTATAATGGGGTGACATGGCCGGGGGGAGCACAGAGGTATAAGGGGGGGACAGGGGAGGGGGAATATTGACTGGGGGTGACATGGAAGGGGGGAGCACACGGTTATAATGGGGTGACATGGCCGGGGGGAGCACAGAGGTATAAGGGGGGGACAGGGGAGGGGGAATATTGACTGGGGGTGACATGGAAGGGGGGAGCACACGGTTATAATGGGGTGACATGGCCGGGGGGAGCACAGAGGTATAAGGGGGGGACAGGGGAGGGGGAATATTGACTGGGGGTGACATGGAAGGGGGGAGCACACGGTTATAATGGGGTGACATGGCCGGGGGGAGCACAGAGGTATAAGGGGGGGACAGGGGAGGGGGAATATTGACTGGGGGTGACATGGAAGGGGGGAGCACACGGTTATAATGGGGTGACATGGCCGGGGGGAGCACAGAGGTATAAGGGGGGGACAGGGGAGGGGGAATATTGACTGGGGGTGACATGGAAGGGGGGAGCACACGGTTATAATGGGGTGACATGGCCGGGGGGAGCACAGAGGTATAAGGGGGGGACAGGGGAGGGGGAATATTGACTGGGGGTGACATGGAAGGGGGGAGCACACGGTTATAATGGGGTGACATGGCCGGGGGGAGCACAGAGGTATAAGGGGGGGACAGGGGAGGGGGAATATTGACTGGGGGTGACATGGAAGGGGGGAGCACACGGTTATAATGGGGTGACATGGCCGGGGGGAGCACAGAGGTATAAGGGGGGGACAGGGGAGGGGGAATATTGACTGGGGGTGACATGGAAGGGGGGAGCACACGGTTATAATGGGGTGACATGGCCGGGGGGAGCACAGAGGTATAAGGGGGGGACAGGGGAGGGGGAATATTGACTGGGGGTGACATGGAAGGGGGGAGCACACGGTTATAATGGGGTGACATGGCCGGGGGGAGCACAGAGGTATAAGGGGGGGACAGGGGAGGGGGAATATTGACTGGGGGTGACATGGAAGGGGGGAGCACACGGTTATAATGGGGTGACATGGCCGGGGGGAGCACAGAGGTATAAGGGGGGGACAGGGGAGGGGGAATATTGACTGGGGGTGACATGGAAGGGGGGAGCACACGGTTATAATGGGGTGACATGGCCGGGGGGAGCACAGAGGTATAAGGGGGGGACAGGGGAGGGGGAATATTGACTGGGGGTGACATGGAAGGGGGGAGCACACGGTTATAATGGGGTGACATGGCCGGGGGGAGCACAGAGGTATAATGGGGTGACATGGAAGGGTGGAGCACACAGTTATAATGGGGTGGCATGGAAGGGTGGAGCACACAGTTATAATGGGGTGACATGGAAGGGGGGAGCACAGACTTATAATGGGGTGACATGGAAGGGGGGAGCACAGAGGTATAATGGGGTGACATGGAAGGGGGGAGCACACGGTTATAATGGGGTGACATGGCAGGGGGGAGCACAGAGGTATAATGGGGGGACATGGAAGGGTACAGCAGGTAAATATAATGTGGTTACCTGTAGGAGCACAGAGGTATAATGGGGTGACATGGAAGGGTACAGCAGGTAAATATAATGTGGTTACCTGTGGGGATCAGGCAGGTGAGGGCGATACACACGGCGGTGACAATCAGCGACCCTCCTTGGCACATTTTACGGCCAATCCGATCCAGCAGAAGATAAACCCCAATTTTGGCCGGGAGCTCAATGAGCCCAAATATGAAGTGTGTGAGGAACGGGCTCAGGCTGAATCCTGTGACATGGAAACTGATCCCGTAATAGCTGAACGCCACACCGAACCTGTCGAGATAAAACACACCCCAGAATACTGATTGGGGGGGACACTGACTGGTGTGAGC